GAGTGAGAGAGGAGAGAGAGAGAGAGAGAGAGAGAGAGAGAGAGAGGAGAGAGAGAGAGAGAGAGGAGAGAGAGTGAGGAGAGAGAGAGAGTGAGAGAGAGAGAGAGTGAGAGAGAGAGAGAGAGTGAGAGTAGGAGAGAGTGAGAGTGAGAGAGAGAGAGAGAAGAGGAGAGAGAGGAGAGTAAGAGAGGAGAGAGTGATGAGAGAGAGAGAGAGTGAGAGAGAGAGAGAGAGAGAGAGAGAGAGAGAGAGAGAGAGAGAGAGAGAGGAGCCTAGCTAAGCTCCTTCCACACCCACCAAAACAACAAAAGACTGTTACCAAGCATAATTCTCTAGTTACCACAACTCTACCACACAAAAGAAATACAACTTTATAAACTACTTATTTAAATTGTGTGTTTATGTCTATAGTATAACCTATTATATTGAGGAAACAGGCTTGACCCAGCTGCCTCTCAGTCCCTAAGAGTGATCTTCCCTTAGGGCCATTTAGTGCTGAGTCCCCATCAATTCAATATAATTAGGTATTCCAGAGTAACTGTTACTTATATACATTAATATGTGTTGGGTCCCATAGTCCCATAACACCCCGTCCCTCCAATCTTTTCGGCGATGACCCCTACCCCACCTTCCTTCCACTACAGATTTATACACTCTCCAAGTCATTCTACTTTGTTTCATTCTTTCTAAATACCCAAACCACCTCAACAACCCCTCTTCAGCCCTCTGATTAATACTTTTAGTAACTCCACACCTCCTAATTTCCACACTACGAACGCTCCTCCTAATTTCCACATCAGTAATTATGTCGCTTAAATATAATGCTGGTAACACAGTACATATACCACCAATAATATGCAAGAAAGTCTTTCATGTGCTGTCATCAGCTGATGGTCAACTACATAGTGTTTAAAGTTAGGGAATCAGACCATATATATGATATGATTTTGGGTGTGTCATTGGCAAAGAGTATTAATTTAAAATGTTATGTGGCATATGGTACAGTAAGTCATTAATTTAGAAGAAAAGAAGATACTGAATGCAGCCTTGAGGGCTAAGTTCATTGGAAGGTAGTTGAAGAAATGCCTTTAATTAATTAATGGCTTCTTAGTGATGTCTGTTACTAAAGTAGTTCTATGGATCATTTAAGTCTGTAGTGATTAGTTTGCAAAGAATATTGTAGTCAGTTGTATCCAAGAGGATACTTGTTCCTTTCAAGTGCTGAACATATTATGAAAAGCATTTTTATTATTGCATCATTAATGCTTTTCATGGGTTTTTATCCAAATTGGCAAAAGCACATTATGTCTAATTAGGTACATGTATAACTTCTTGTGGATTACTTTTCTCAACTATATTTTCATAGTATAGGTAGATTTGAAATTTGTCTGTAATTATCAGTATCATTTTGTCAGTCATATTTTCTTACTATTGTCATAGATAGTAGGTTGGTACTATCACCCTGTCAAATGAGTGTGAAATGGAAATCTGTTATTTTGTTTTTTGTTTTCTGCACTTTGGCAGAACTGCTGGTCTTTTCTTTGTGTCTCAGGAGCTCATAAGGCAGGAAAATCTTGTAAACTTCTCCTTACATACACTGTATATATATCTTTACTTCCCTATGTGCTTGTTAGTACAGTGGAACCTCTACTTACGAGTACATCCACGTGCAAACTTTTCCAGATGTGAGCAGCTGCTCGGTCGATTTTTTGCTTCCAGATGCGAGCGAGCCTCAAGGGAGGTTAATTGACACTGGTGAGGGAACTCTTGCTCTTGATCTAGGGAATTGGATCTCAGTTGTTTATTGGACTATCTTATTGAAACTTGGGCAATGTATGATGAAAAGATGCTTCTTAACGTACAGTGGACCCCCGCATACCGTTGGCATCACATAAGGTTAAATCCGCATACCGATACATTTTATCGCTAAGATTTTGGCTCGCATACCGCTAAAAAACCCGCTCAACGCTATTCGTCCAAGACGCGTCTAATGTGCGGCCTGAGCCAGCCTCACATGTTCCGCCGGTGGCATTGTTTACAAGCCAGCCTCCGCGGTAACATCCAAGCATACAATCGGAACATTTCGTATTATTACAGTGTTTTTGGTGATTTTATCTGCAAAATAAGTGACCATGGGCCCCAAGAAAGCTTCTAGTGCCAACCCTGTGGTAAAAAGGGTGAGAAATATTATCAAAATACTGTGGTACCATGGTCATCTGCTGATGCTGCTGCTGCTGTAGCACCGTCAGCTGCTGCTGCTGCTGTACCACCGTCAGCTGCTGCTGCTGTTGTAGCACCGTCTGCTGCTGCTGTAGCACTGTCAGCTGCTGCTGTAGCACTGTCAGCTGCTGCTGCTGCTGCACTGTCAGCTGATGCTGCTGCTGCTGCTGTAGCACCGTCAGCTGCTGCTGCTGCTGCTGTACCACCATCAGCTGCTGCTGCTGTTGTAGTACCGTCTGCTGCTGCTGTAGTACCGTCAGCTGCTGCTGTAGCACCGTCTGCTGCTGCTGTAGCACTGTCAGCTGCTGCTGTAGCACTGTCAGCTGCTGCTGTAGCACTGTCAGCTGCTGCTGCTGCACTGTCAGCTGCTGCTGCTGCTGTAGCACCATCAGCTGCTGCTGCTGCTGTACCACAGTCTGCTGCTGCTGCTGTAGTACCATCTACTGCTGCTGTAGCACTGTCAGCTGCTGCTGCTGCTGCTGCTGCTGCTGCTGTAGCACCGTTGTTGGTGTGGCTTATTGAGAATACCAAGAAACAACCCCAGAGGGTTAGCCACCCAGGATAACCCAAAAAAGTCAGTGTCATCGAAGACTGTCTAACTTATTTCCATTGGGGTCCTTAATCTTGTCTCCCAGGATGCAACCCACACCAGTCGACTAACACCCAGGTGAACAGGGAAAAATGCCTGGAACTAGTGCTCATATTGGTGAATTTAAAGCCAGCAAAGGTTGGTTTGAGAGATTTAAGAATCGTAGTGGCATACACAGTGTGATAAGGCCTGTTCTGGAAGAAAATGCCAAACAGGACCTACAGTACTCAGGAGGGAAAGGCACTCCCAGGACACAGTGTCTCATCAGTCATTGCTGCATCTTCAATAAAGGTGTCATTTATTCTTCATTTAGTAGAGTAGTACATGCACAATATATATTGTGCATGTACTACTTTACTATTGTGCATGTATCCTTCTCTTTGTGTGTAGGAAAATGTATATTTCATGTGGTAAAAAATTTTTTTTCATACTTTTGGATGTCTTGCACGGATTAATTTGATTTCCATTATTTCTTATGGGGAAAATTCATTCGCATAACGATAATTTCGCATAACAATGAGCTCTCTTGCACGGATTAATATCGTTATGCGGGGGTCCACTGTACACCAAAAATGAAAAAAATCGGACCATAAATAAGGGAGTTCACTTCTCAGCCATTAGCCTCCCCTTAGCGGTATATTTTCGTATGGTTTTTATGGTTGTATTCTCGTTTTATTTGGTCTCTTGTGACAGAATGGAAGATATACTACAAAAATAAATATGATTTTAATTGGTTTCACAATGAAAAGTACCTTGAAATTGAGCTCAAAATAGCAGAAATGTTCAATTCTTTGGCGACATCAGTGGTATCATGAGGTAGCAGTGGCAGACAACATGAAGCAGCAGTGGCAGACAACATGAAGCAGCAGTGGCAGACAACATGAAGCAACAGTGGCAGACATCATGAGGTAGCAGTGGCAGACAACATGAAGCAGCAGTGGCAGACATCATGAGGTAGCAGTGGCAGACAACATGAAGCAGCAGTGGCAGACATCATGAGGTAGCAGTGGCAGACAACATGAAGCAGCAGTGGCAGACAACATGAGGTAGCAGTGGCAGACAACATTAAGCAGCCATGACAGACAACATGAAGCAGCAGTGGCAGACAACATGAAGCAGCAGTGGCAGACAACATGAAGCAGCAGTGGCAGACAACATGAAGCAGCAGTGGCAGACAACATGAAACAGCAGTGGCAGAACATAGCGCAGGGTAGCAGTGGCAGACATCATGAGGTAGCAGTGGCAGACAACATGAAGCAGCAGTGACAAAGTATAGCATTAAGAGTGTAGCAATTAAGTGTAGCATTAAGAGTGTAGCAATTAAGTGAAGCATTACGAGTGAAGCACTTATAACTCACTCTGTCTGACTTTCTTGGGTTATCCTAGGTTCTCTACATATGTAGTCAGGAGCAGGAATGGCCGCTGTGGTGACCCTGTAAACCCCAACAACAATGGCTGCTGTCACCACCACTAGCCGCATATCTAATGACATGTATTTTATTCATTTTAGTGTATATATCATGTTTCTTTGTTATTAGTATTTTTTTTTTTTTCAACAAGTCTGCCGTTTCCCACCGAGGAATGAATTGTGATAGATAAATAAGTTGTATAGCTGATATTAGGGAAATTATTGAAGTATTTTCTCGTGCCTGGAATTCCACTGGAACAAATTAATTCCATTTCAGTTTATTTAAATGAAGAAACTTGACTCTGCAGACAAGCAAATCCAGTTGCGAGCAAGGTCATGGAATGGATTAAACTCATAAGTAAAGGTTCCACTGTAGTTTTTAATCCTGTAATATTTCCTTTCCATGGTAATAGGCTTAGTTTGAGACCAGACCATGGAGAAGATTATCTCCAGATATTCCTAAAAGAAAAAAACGAGAAGATAGATTTGAGCGTGGTTTAGCTATTGAGAACATTTTGCATGAAATCCTGTTTTTTTTTTCTTTCAATTTAGAGGTGTGTGTCAGCATCCCACCCTCCGCCCCCCAAAAAATGGGTACTGCATAAAAAAGCAGTGGGAGTTGTCTATCATTAAAAATATTAAATAACTGTATTTTGCAAATCAGGAACCATGCATATTTGAGGGGCCAACTGTACTAGAAAACACACTATCTTTCTTTAACACAATTTTTCTAGTTTGTTCATAATTTCCATTTTGTAAAATAATACTCTCTTCCTTAACTAGGAGCTGGAATATGCCTTGCAAATCTTCAATTACTTCTTTACGGCAGTGTTTATCTTAGAATCAGCCATGAAGATGGTGGCACTGGGTTGTCGTCGTTACTTCCAGGACAGGTAATGCATTTTGTACCACCTAATTCACTGTGTTATTGTCATTATCACTTAACATTTGACTGTTTCTTCCCCAAACAGTCATCTTGTTACTTCACATTTTATTGTGGCATTTTTTATTTCTAGGAAGTACAGTATGCAGTGGTCCCTTGAGTTACAATGGTCTTGTGCTATGATAATTTTGAGTTGAGACTTAATCTCATAAAAGAATTAGTTTTGAGTTGTGACAAAAATTTTGAGATATGATATGTGTACCCAGTACCACTCCTCTGCTTGAGCCCATGGACCAGCAAGAGATTGTGAATTTCAAGAAAATTTACACTGCAGTGGTGTTTGCTAAGTGCTTTGCAGAGATGTCAGGAAATGGAACTATCAGCTTCAGAGAATTCTGGAATCTAAGTTTAAAATCTTAAATTGTGTAAAATTTCCTCTTGGTGCCTCACTGCAGCCTGGAAGAACTTGTGGCTTTCAGTCATTTATGACTTTGAAGGATTTGAGACTGAAGAGGATATAAACCAAGAGACTGTCACTTTTGGTGAGGCAGTGAGGGTGGGGATTGATGAAGAGGATGTGGAGGAGTTGATTCAGGACCACAGACATGAGTTGATAACAAAGGAACTCCTGGAATTAGGGAAGATGGATGAGAAGGACAGTGGGAAGGAAGATGACCATTGGTTAACAGCTGCAGAAATTCAGGATTTGTTTACTCATGGGGAATGTGTGAAAGGAATCATAAGAAAGTACTCAGACATTTGAAAAACTGAACTCACTTCCCACTTCCTGTGTTTTTGAAGATAATGTTTTATCTTATTTTAAGAGTCTTAGAAGAAAACAACAGAAACAAACAGCTCTGGACAGTTTTTTCAAGAGGCAACGGTTGGAAGGAGCTGCTCCTTCCAACCAGTAACTTCCTTTCCACTCTCTTCCCCACCACCACACCAACTCTTCAAGTTCAAAATGCATACAGTAAGAGTTGCACTTCTGGCTTCTGGAGTCTTGGAATGAATTACCATAAAACCATGTGTATTAAGTTTTGAGGTATGATATCTTCTGGAATGGATAAATATTATAACTCAAGGGACAACTGTCTATGATAATTATATTTCTCATAAACAAGAAATTCACAGCTAATTTTATCCATAAGTACATATGTGGGAAAATTATGTGGCATGCTAGATGAAGAATCATTGTTATTCAGTCTCTTTCATATCAATGATGACTTAAAGTAACATCTAGTAGTTTCTGTTTGCATAAATTTTGTCAAGTCAGTATATTTATGCCCCTTCAAATCCAACTCCAGTTTGTGAATGATTTCCTGCAGTGAGAGTCTTGTGTTTGAGAGTACTTTTTCTCAAAGCTGATTCATGAAGGTTGATCAAGTTTTAACACTCCCATTGCATTGTAGCTCTTCATTACTTTACCCAGTGTGACTTCTTGGCTACAATTATATGTTCCTTCCTGACCTATAACCATTTTATGAGTGCAAGTGTGTAGTTGCTGTTCTTAAGGGATAGCTAATGTGAAGTGTAAGTCAGCCCAGGGTTTTCTTACACTGTACAACATGAAATATGGAAACAAGATAACTACCTAGACTGGTTCTACTTAAGGTGCATCTAGATGTCCATCTCATAATACAGGTTCCTGTAATTGTGAGTTGTATTCTAAAATCTTGAACCTTCATTTCTGGTAGTCTATTGGAACTGGGAGTCAGCTTTGAGGAAGTGTACATATTGGCTTAAAAAAGTATGCGAACTGTAAAAATTGGATGGCCCATCACATTGACAATGCAATTTTGCTGTTGTTGACATATTTTTCTTTCAGGCTAACTTAGAATTTTTTTTCATTTTCCCCTTTAATAATATCAACATTCCTATGGGAGTCTCAGATCACTTTTTCTCTGCCATGTGTCTTCTGTCTTTACATACAAAAACTTAATATTCTCTTAGCGAAATTCCACTGTAAGGATTACAGTGAAATTTAGCTAGTTAAAAGAATAAAAAACAATCTACAGTTGTTTTTTTAATTAAATAGTTCAAAGCTATATTTTTATTTTTTCAACACGTTGGCCGTCTCCCACCAAGGCAGGTTGACCCAAAAAAGAAAGAAACAATTTCACTCTTGTATATCCCATTTTTGTATATCATTTTGATATTCTCTCTACTTATTATATATTCAAACTGTATTGTTTAATGAAATCAAATTGATCATTCCATATTGATTTAACGTCTTTTTTTTTTTCTCTCTCCAATTGGTCTACCCCTCTGCCTCTATGTATAACAGTTTCTCATATTTTATTTCATTCTGCATGTACCTCCCAGAAAAATGTGTAGAACACACATAGTATGTCTCTTCCATTATCTAGATACTGATAAAAAATTAATGGCAATGAAAGCTCTACAGGTGTGTGAGGCACTCTATAATATATTAAATTCTGTGTTCAGGTTTGATGGACCACTTACAGGAATAGAAGCCTGTCATGGTACCCTTGTATTGTTAGTTTTGTTTGTACTCTTGCCTCACTTTCATCCAGTCTGCTGCCTTTTGCTTTCTCTTTCCTGTGAACCTATACAATTTTGCTGACATAACTGAACACCATTCGGCATCCATCATCAGTCAAAGGAGGAAATGTATTGTACCTCGTTTTAGTAGTTATCCACTATGGAGAATATTATTCATACTTGTAAAAGAAATACAGTTGCCTCCAGACTGTGGGAAGATGATAGCCATGTTTATTGAATAGGTCATGAGTTGTGTCGAGGGAAAAAATACGTTTGTTGCTCATAGCTGAAACTATGAAACAGGTCCATCATGAAGAGGAAGAATGTGAAGATACAAGTGTTAGTGACTGCTCAGGGTTTGACCTGCTCTTTACAATTTACTTATGAATTCTGCCAACAGATAATCACTTATACAGCTTACTGATGTCAGCTCTTAGTAAGAGGACAAGAAAGACATCTAAATCCATTAGTGTTTCCTGACATCCAGGGCTGAGTTAGAGAACAAAGCTATTCAGCCAGAATCCAAAGTTGGTAACAAACACTCGCCTTCACCATTAATATCTGAACAGCAAGCCTAAAAGGATGATCATAATCTTGAAAACTTTAGAGTGTTACTAAATATTTATATGAATATTCATATGGATCAAATCCAGGAGAGCTTATTTCAAACGTCCAGGTTACTGCACATCATCATTAATCAGGGTGCTAGTGAGTTAGAAAAATAGTCAGGCTTTTCAGCATTCAAGAAACCTACTTGGCCTTGACTTCAATTAAGAAAATATCTGATATAAAGTATATGTACAACTTAAAAGAGCTGCTCTTGAGAAATTTACTAAAGATTAATAATTAATAATTTCTTGAAGAAGCTTTTGCAGGTTCTGTTCCCAGTTCTTGAGTCTCTTTAAGCTAATATTTTTTTACTTATTCCAAAACAAAGCAAGAACATGGTCTTCTAAAGTTCCTGACTTCACCTTTGCTAAAAATGTTGTGGTTAATATTTTTAATTCTGTGCTGAGGCTGGATATGTTATTAAGGTCTGTTGCTGAAGTTGCTTTTGTCAAGCAACAATTAAACTCAATTATAGTGTTGTGTATACGGTATCAACAACTCTTGTTAATTTCGTCATAAATTACAATACAACAAATCATGATAACATCTTAAATCTGGGATCAGCCATGGCTAATAATAGGATCACTGTACATAAGGAGCTATACCAACAGTTGAAAGCCTCGCTAATCAAAGAGAGAAACTTGATCTTCTCTGAGGTTGCAAATCCCAACCCCATGGCTATGCAGTCATTACAACAAGGTCTGTGCATTAAGTGGAGCATATGAGTGTGCTGCAATCCCAGCAAAATTAAAAATGTCTGTCAGCAACTGTGGTGTGGGTTATTTTGTGGATTAACCGTTATATTTCAGAAAGTGTGCACACAATGCATACATGCACACACACCCATACACATGCACACACACATGCAGAGAGCAAGAAATGGCAACTACAAGCCACAGCAGCAGAGGCTAAGATACAGAGCTTAGAAGAGGAACTGAAAAATCTGAAACAGTCTACAGAACCAAAGAGCAGTACGGGCATGACATCAGGAACTGCTACATCAGTCACAATTGAGGGGACTGTAGGGAACAAAGGAGTTAAACTGTATGCAGAGGCCCTATCAGACCCCTGTGGAGCCCAAGAAAAGACAAGGAGCACACCAGGAACAAATGAGGGGACTGAAGAAAATGAGACTGCCAAGCTATACGCAGAGGCCCTAACAGCCACAGCAGTGCCCAATAAAAGCTGAGAAGGGAAACTGACAGACCACTGGGCACGGACATCAGATAGAGAAGAGACTGAAGAAAGGAAAGCTGCAATGGAAGCAACTAAATTGACTCAGGGGATGCAAAAGGAAATGCAATGGGAGAATGAAAGGGAGAGGTCAGTCTTTGTTTATGGGCTCCAGGAAATTGAAGGGGAAACTTATAAAGCAAGAAGACAGGAGGAGAAAAAAGTACAGTGGTACCTCAAGTTACGAACTTAATTCGTTCTAGAAGGCCGTTCGAGTGCTGATACTGAATGAATTTGTTCCCATAAGGAATAACGTAAATTAGATTAGTCCGCTTTAGACCCCCAAAAATACACTTACAAAAACACTTAAACAATTATGTAAGTTTAATTTTGTGAGTTGGGAGCTGTTCAAAACTTGAGGTACCACTGTAATTGAAAGTATCATGAAAGCAATAGGAGAGGATAACATGACCCAGCTGATAAATTTTCTGAGAATAAGGGGGTTTGCAAGAAGAAAAAACTGGCCAGTCAGTGATTTTCAAGGCAGAATCTGCTCGAAACAGGATCCTGCAGGAGAAAGCAACCCTAAGGGACATATCAGTGTACCAGAGGGTGTACCTCAACTGCAACAGAACACAAGAAGGAAGAAACTGAAAGATAGGGTACGAAGATGCAAGGAGGAAAGAGAGGCAAAGACAGAGATAGGCAGGAGAACCCAGACTC